GGCGGGCTACAGACCCAGGTGCCGCTGATCCTAGTGACGCCACTGCACCCGCATTCCACACCTCCTAGACGATAAGACCGTAGTGTTGACATTTTTAGGCCAACGCTGGAAACAAATTGGAAAAGAGCGCTGCTTCAGAGCTCAGCTTCGAATCAAGTTTGAGCTGAACGTTGACGCAATCCTCGTGTCTAATCTGTTCCCAGCATTAGCCTTCGCTGATTATGACATTTCTTTCAGCACTATGGCTTTGTTTTCTATGAGATGCCGCATTCCACCGCGCCGCGGCGCAACACCTCCCAAATAAGAAAACCGTTTTGCGGAAAAAAAAAAAAAAAAAAAAAAAAAAAAAACTGGTGTCATTGAAGAGCGGCCAAGCTTCCAACGATTCATACAAGGGCAAATGGAAGTTCTTCCGTTGCCTGAACTTCCTAGATGCTGCCAACCCGATAGGGACGAGGACCTTCAGCGATGCTATTGAGGTGGCAGAGCCAGAGGTGGTAAATTTTGTAGCTGCCTTATGTATGGCACCAGTGGTCATTGCGATACAGTGCAATCATTGGTGTAGATCCTTGTTTTAAGTGGAAAAAAGACGACGAAGTGTTCCCACGCCGAAGCACATTCTCATCGCTCTCCAATATTTAGTTAGATAACTATTCTTAAATTGAACCTGCCGGTAGTGAGGTCACCCACCATCGACCTGAACGACGCCATGGCCACGGGGGACGGGGGTCAACCGCCCCCTGGTCACCAAATGGCATCCGTCAGCGGCTTGGTCCTTTCACCTGCGACACTCCAAGCTCTATCTCAGCCACCTGCGTTACTGAATGGCAAGTACACTAACGAGGACGGATCTTTGACGCCTGAAACTGAAATGTGTATCGACACCCTGACCCCCGGACAACAATATCCTAATTTTACTGACACAGAAAATGGCTCTACCACAGATGACGAAGGTTTCACTTTTGTGAAATACAAGAAAGCAAAGAAACGGTGTCATGAGGCCAAGTCACTATCCTCGAGCAGCAGTACGATCATATCTGTGGACTCAAAGAAATCGTCTCTTACTGTCATCTTTATGCCAGTAGATCAAACGAAAGTGATCACCAAATTAAACCAACTAAGACTGTCAGAGCTGCTTGAGTCGAAAGCGCCCGGCTCCATAATTCAGATCAGACCGAACTACTGGCTCAACTTGATATCTGTCGATATACGAAATAGTGACGGCCTGTCATCTGTCCTGAAGGTGACCTCTCTGTTGGGTGTCTCTGTCAGACCCTTTGAGCCCCGTTCCCAAGCCCAGGCAACTAGAGTCATCAGAGGAGTCGATACCAACATCGACAGTGCCGAAATTCATGCACAGCTAAAGGCCAACAACAAAGCATCTGTTACATCGGTTCGTCGAATGGGTACGTCCACCACAGTAGCCATAACTGTCTCGTCGTCAAGACTTCCTGAGTACGTTCTCCTTGGTCTAGTACGTCACAAGGTAGAGCCATTTTTGGAAAAGCCAATTCAATGCCATCAATGCTGTCATTTTGGGCACGTTAGGTCCACTTGCCGTAAATCTCCAATGTGTTCACGTTGCGCCGGACCACACCAGCGAAATGACTGTGACGCTGATACAACGACAGTTCGGTGCTGTAACTGTGGTAAAGAACACGAAGCGACATCGCATCAATGTGCAAAATGGAAACATGAGTTGGAAATACGTCACCAAAGACAAGTAGCTGGGAGCACATCACCCGCTCATCCTGCCCAGGACACGGTCGACAGTGCTCTTGAACAAAACAGACCTGGCCTACTAGATTCTCAACGAGACGCGCGAATCCATAAGAATACAAAGTCGAACACCGACTCCACTGGCTACAATGAGCAACAGACGACAAATACTTCTATGAAGGACAAAGCCTCGTCTCAACAAAGACGCTCGACTGATGTTCCTGACTCCCGAAAGCATACTCAAGGCCGGTGGCAAATACCTCAACGAGAACCTTACAAAGACGCGCTGGTAGGAACGTTATCAAGAAAACAAGAGTCAAGAACTGAAAAAGACCCTCCTTCTTCGCCAGAAGCAACATCTATGATCTGGTCAACCATTATAATCTTTGCAGAAAGTCGCATACGACAGTATCTCACCCAGTGCACGTCCCCAGTGGCTCACCTTGCTCTGCAAGCATAGGATATTTTTTCCCAATTTTAATTAATTTAATAAGCTAGAATATGGACATATCAACGACTGCAGCGCACTAAGATGTGCACTGCCTCCATTGAAGAACTAATTAGTGACTCAACACTATTCCAATGGAATGCAAGAGGACTCCAGTCAAACATGTCGGATTTTCGACAATTCACACATCATCATCACTTCCCTATAATTGTAATTTGTGAACCAAACCTTCCAAAAGATTTTAGGCTCTCAGGGTACGAGATTTTCACATCCCTGCGGTCAAATGGACCCAGTCGAGTTATGCTCGCTATACGCAAAGACCTTACATATGTCAATCATCTCATTACACCCCATGCAGACAATGAATACGTATCTGCCACAGCAAGAAACGGCAATCGCTCCTTTTCAGTTATAGCGGCCTACATATCACCATGTGCAAAATTTGATGGCGCGCACTTTGAAGTTGTAATGAACAACTGCGCTCGCCCTTACATCCTGTCAGGCGATTTCAACGCTCATCATTCCATTTGGGGAGGTACTCATATAAACAATCGAGGCAGAAAACTTTTAGGCTCTTTGAACTTTGTGGGAACCACGGTGTTCCCCGCATCCCTATCTAGGCCTAGCTCTGGCAGGCCGTGGGACGTCGCCACGTGGGGGCGCGTCCCGGATGCGAGGGCGAAGCCGTATTCCCTGGTGGGCGGCTTTCCCTCGTCCTTCTCGGGTGATTTGCCTAAGGCACACCCCTCGGGATCATGACTTGGACGCGTCCGCCCCTCCGGGGAGCCACCTACATCCGACCCACCCCGGGCGCGTCCATTCCCGCAGGCTATATAAGACGGCCCTAATCCAACGGGCGGGACTCTCGCTGGGGGAGGCTCTGCTCGACGGAGCCTTCATACCCTTATCTGATCCTCCCCCTCTGTGATACTGTCAATAGCGGCAGCGCGGACTCCGACTGGTGATCCTCTCAAAAGAGACAGCGCCGTCATCTCCAACATTGTTGGCCTTCGGGCAAGCGTGTGGCATCTAAGTCAAATAAACACGTCTTTATCCGGACCCAAGGAACCTTCTGTGTTTCTAAGTGGTACCCCCAACAAAGGGGAATCCCACAACTTATACAGCTTAAACATATTGAACGATAGCAGTCCCACATACCTACGCGGCACTACGTACAGTAGCTGCCTCGACCTAACGTTCGTCTCTCAATAACTGGTGCCTTATAGCTTATAGTTTACTGATATCGAAACACGCGGCAGTGACCATATCCCAACTTACACCATCCTGAAGGGATTTTCAAGCCGAAAAATTCGCCACACTATTCGTCGTACAATTTGGCAAGCCTACCAAACATCAATGGAGTCTTTCCGCGAGTCTTCTACTAACCTTCAAGACTTCAGTGCTGCTGTTGCTGTTGCTGCCAAAAGTGAAACCAGAAGCAACAATCTTCCTGCGACCCGGACTGCAATCGATGGGGAATATGAACATCTACGTGGGCTAAGCGTCGTCGCTCGGAAAGACGGTACCGAAGGACCAAAGATATGCAGGATCTACGTGAATCTCGCCGCACGCAGAAAAAAATAGGTCGATACCTACAGAAACTAGGAAGGGTGAAATGGAGGACGAATTGCTCAAAGTTAGATCCAAGGAAACCTCTTACGGGAGTCTGGCGTATGGCGCGTGGACAACGGGCACCTCAACAGCAACGATATTCGTTCCGTGCTTAATCTCTGCGCCTAAACGTTACTGAGATGGAGGTCGCCGAGAGCTTCTGCAGCCGTCTCACCCAACAGCCGGCGGGCTCTAATTTATCGTTTGGTCCCATGCAAGCAATCGCGCCACCATCGTCCGACGACAGAATGAATTTTCCCTTTCAGTCAGATGAACTCCAGGCAGCTTTGGCTACAGTGAAGCGGACCTCGACTCCGGGACCCGACGACGTTACGTATAGCGCCCTTGCCAACCTAGGCCCACGAGGTCAAAAACAGCTTCTTGATTTGTTCAACAATTCATGGGAAACGGGTCAGGTACCATCAGTATGGAAGAAGGGGCGTATCATACCCATTCTCAAACCAGGAAAGTCGCCTTACGACATATCATTGCATTGGGAAGCTAATGTAGGAAATGGTAAATTATCGCCTTGAATGGTGCCTAGAAAATACCGATCAGTATCCGGACGTAATGTCTGGATTTCGACGTGGACGAAGTTCTTTGGACAACTTCGTAGACCTCGTCACCTTTGTAGAACAGAACAAGAAGGAACGACGAATAACTACAGCCGTCTTCCTTGATGTCATGGGCGCATACGACAATGTGACTTACGAGGCCGTTCTAAATGCGGTAGAGGAACTTGGAATTGGTGGCCGCATGTTCTCCTGGTTAGAGAGCTACCTCACAGGAAGATCTATATATATGTCAACGTGCGACGGAAATACAAGTTCTCACATCCTCACAAAAGGCGTACCACAAGGCGGGGTATTAAGCCCGATTTTGTTTAATATGGTTTTTATAAATCTGATCCGCGAATTACCAACCACGGTACATGCATCTGTTTATGCTGATGACATTCGTATCTGGGCGACCGGTGTCACACGCCCTCAGATACGGGCGAGACTCCAAAGCGCTCTGAAAGTTACCCATAAGTATCTCATCGAACGTGGACTTCAAATATCAACTTCCAAATCAGCTGCGATTACGTTTTTCCGCAAGTTAATGGACAGATACCCTATTACTATCTGTGGAGAAAAAAATTCCGTACGTCCGGAAGCATACGTTTCGAGGAATAACTCTGGATCGAGGCTTAACGTGGACGCCTCATCTATCCCGACTGAAAATGAAGCTGACATCCATAGTGCATTTCATGCGATTCATCAGTGGCACAACATGGGACGCAACTGTTGGTTGCCTACAGCGACTGTTCGAAGCCTTGTTCCTCGGACTTCTGAGGTACACCTTACCGGTTATCAACAACACCTGCATTACCAATATACGAGCCCTCCAAAGCATCCAAGCGCAAGCTCTGCGAACCTGTTTAGGGCTACCCCGCTCTGCTTCCACGCCCGGGACAATTGCGGAGGCTCGCAGATTTCCAATTGAAGCATACATGATACAAGAGACACTGCGGTTGCACATGAGGCACCTTACACAACATTCTCGCCATCACTTCCCTACCGAAAAATCCGGTTAACTTTTCGCTATCCGGATTATGAAACCGGACATTTATCTGGAATCTATCATCTATCTGGAATTTAGGTTTTTACAAATTATCCCTTTGTCTGCAATCTGGATTTCGGGTTTCCAGTAACAAATTTCCGGTTCCATAATCCGGATAGTGAAAAGTTATACCGGATTTTTCGGTAGGGCTAGCAACGTTACCTACAAACAGACGAAAGTCCAGCTTCTCCAGAACGATAAGAAAGCATAATACTACTCTAAATAATTTCAATCGACCATCTATTAAGAGCATACCGCCATGGACATTCTTGACTCCAGAAGTAGTGCCGTACATCAAAGGCATTCATAAGAAGTCATCAATACCACTGCCTGTACTGAAACAACTGGCATTAAGGGTCATAAATGAAACACACGGCTCGACGAAGCATGTATACACCGACGGGTCCTCTTCTGGAGAACGAGCTGGAGCTGGGATTGTAATACCCGCCCACAGTAATTCCTCCAGTTTTGAAATAGGACACAAAACGACATCAACGGCATCTGAGTTAGCGGCCATACGAGAAGCAGCAAGGTACATCCTATGTCAAGCACCCCAGTGCTGGACCATCTTCAGTGACTCAAGATCAGCGCTACAAATAATCCAGTCTTCTATGAAAAATAATGCGTACGACTTTCTGGCATACCAAATCTTCTGCACCTGCCACCGGGCCCTCCAGCAGGGTCATCACATAACTCTTCAGTGGATACCAGGTCATTGTGGTGTCGCCGGCAATGAGGCAGCAGATAGTGTAGCAAAATCAACCAGTAACGGCAAGAAAATTTGCATACCCTACTCCAGGTGTGACACGAAAATTCTGGTTCAAGACGTGGCAAAAGGAATTTCACAAAACTACTGGATGAATCCACATTACCACCATCCCAGGCTATACTCCCTTGATCCCCAACTTGCATTCCGCGTTCCATCTGGGCTTTCAAGACAGCTAGAGGCGGTCCTGCACCGACTAAGGCTTGGTGTGGCATATACACCGCAGTTCCTTTATCGCATTCAAAGGAGAGATTCCGCGAACTGTCCAAGCTGCGAAGTTGAAGGGACAATTCAACATATCCTGTGTGAATGCGATAAATTCAACGAGGATCGACAGGTGCTGGAACAGACATTAATGGCGTTGGACTCGAGGCCTTTCTGCTCATCAAAAGTACTTGGTGCCTGGGACACAACTGGCCAATTCATGAAGGCCACGAAGGCCTTGGTAATGTTCCTCACGAACACTGCATTATCAGACACTTTGTAGGGTGCTTAAAAATGCCTGTGAGATTTTGAACATTTTTACCATTGCTCACCCTCATTGACAACTTCACCTCATCTTTCTTCCTCATCGTCATACCTTTTCTTCCCCCTTCCCCTTCTCCCCAGTACAGAGTAGCCAACCAGAACCTACGTTCAGGTTAACCTCTCTGTCCTTCCTTAATAAACCCTTCTCTCTCTTGTTTTAAGTGACTATAGCCTTTTGAGGTTAAGAAAAGCTGAACGAGCTCCTCCCACTCTTTCCACTTTAGCAAGAGAAAGCTGGAGAGGAGGCAAGGAGCGACTCGCCTCCTGTTTCGTGTTCACTCGTTGAAGTGGAAAGAGGGGCATGATCTTGTCCTGCTTTTCTTAATTAGCACAATAAACTTGTCATGGTTACACCACCATAGTGACAACTCAAACATTAATGCAAGATGTGCAGCATCGATCTAAGTAATTTTTTTGCGTCCAAGTATTGACAGCGGAAAGTTGGACTGCGTGAAGCGGTGACCGATATCTCCGCTGTAAATGAAAAATTTAGCCTTTGCAGCATAGATACAAGCTTTATTGCGTTTTCTCCATGTTTACAAGCCTTTATGATTTTTTTAGCCACTCTGTGCACACATAAGCACTTTACATATGGTCAGTGTGAATAACAGCAGCACTTGTTTATTCACGAAACGAGCACATAAACCTAGAGATGCAAGCAGGAACACCGAATACTTTGCTCAAGTATATTGGGAACATGGAGGGCATTTCAGACTGTCATGAGGTACCGTACTCTTATATGAATGAAGACAATATAAAGCACCTGCTTAAACATAAAAATGCAGTTAGTTCTTGGAGATCGTGTAAATTAAATTGTTCTGATATTACTGGTGTTTGTTTCCTTCTCTGCGGGACAGAGCAGGTCAACCTTCTTGAAGTCCGTTAAGGCTGCAATAACTCGCTTTATGCACGGATAAAATTAATTTGCATGCACCTTTTAATTACAGTAAAACGCTTAGCAAAGCGCAGACCAGGATGCCGACCCGAACGCCATTATCGAGGAGTTGCCACGGCCGTCCCCTGCCGCTGTGAGTACGGCCAGCAGTAGTAGCATGTCAAGGAAAACTCGAAGCTCGCAGCCCTCAGCTTACGATTGGGCTGCGAGAACAGCTGCCCTCGAAAAAATAGCAGATGCTGTACAACAGCCGCCCGACGCAGATGATGCTTCAGCACATTTTGCGAAGGCTGTTGCAGCACTTATGGGACCAATGAAAACATTAAAGTTGGTCCGCCGCCAGGCTGAAATATTCAGTGTAATAAAAAAATATCTGGACGAACAAAAGAAGAAGTTAACTGTTTACTTGCTTTTTTTTTTGTCTGCACTCCTTTCTTGAGTCTGCGTGTGCAGTGTTTGTCTAAGTCAACATAGGCGGCCTCTCGCTGCCACGACACAGCACCCCTGCCATTGAAAAAACTACACATGTCATCTCGCACTGCAGCGCCAAATGTGCTGCACGTCCACGCGATGCAGGGAAGCTGAAAAACGAAGGTCGACCTCGGCGTTAATTCTCTGCACCTGCCCTCGATGCTTGGTGGGGCAGCACGTCGTTGCTGGGAAAGTTGTGCAAGACACATGCAGCATTGACGCTGGCAGCGGCCATTTCGGGAATGGCATCTATGACTGTCAGCAAACACCTGAAATCGTTGGCCAGGATTCCAAATGTGTTCTCAACAACGCGTCTAGCTCCAGACAACCTGGAAAGGAACACGCAAGTATCGAGCGAGTCATCAAGACTAATACTGCTGTCAGACGGGAAAGTAAATTTCATTTTAATCGAATGTCATTCACCGCTCACCGAATCAGCTCGCGATCCTGGTTCTGCACGTGGCGCGTGCACACGGAGCGTGGCGTATTAAACACGCGGATTGGCCAAGCCCTGCAACCATATATAAGCCTTTACCTTTTTTGCGGTTTCCACGTCCCTCGGGGTTTGGGCAAGCCAGCGGGCACGGAGAGTAACTAAATATCAGTGCGTCGTATTTTAACCGAACGACGTAGAAACCTCCTCCTCCAACGGGGGCGACCCGCGGTTGCGAAAGCGCGCGATATGTGACGTCTTTGGTCATGGGTTTACTACTGGCCAGAGGCGCTAAAAGCTTCTTTTTAGTTGAAATACAAAATATAAGTGGCGCCGAACCGTTTCATATATTTATAAAAGTAGTGTTTGTTCACTATTTTAGATGAGAAAAGAAACAAATGCAGTTTTAAAAGTACGGAAACAATAAATGACCCGTCGACATACCCGCCACCAAGCGGTGGAAAAGGCGGTGCTTACTACAAAGGTGTAGTGGGATCAGGTGCCAACGAGCGGCGAGCATAGAAAGGTCCTGGATGTACGCGACGCCGCTGCGGTCGTATACCGACTTGAGGATCCGACGTTCCCGAGGCCTTCGGTGAGCAGCTTCGGCTTGCTGTTTAGCCTTCTGGCGGTATGGCAGCGCGAAGTGACTCCCGTTCTGAACTGATCTTTACCCCGCGTTTGCTGTCGTTTGTGGCCAATGAAGTGTCATGCTGAATTAGTGTTTATTCGCTCAGCAAATGCAATGCGGGCCGCCCTGGCTGCCCACTCCATACAGCCTAGCCAGAACGTGCTTTAGTGGCGCCCTCTCGAGCCGTCGACACGGAGTGCGGCAGCCGTGACCGCTCGCTGAGCTCACTACCCCTCCTCTAGTTCATAGCCACTCAAGCAACCAAGGACGTCATGAAGGGGGTTATGTTTTGCTTGTTTTTGTAATTTTAAGTTGCCTATAACTCTTAAAATAAAGCGAAAATCGAGAAAAAAAGTTTCATTAAGGTGCTACGTTCAGTGCACTCAAGTTCGGTGCAAATTAAAAACCAGTAAAAAAGTCCTTGCAGGGCCCCTTTAAATGTCATTTAACGTGCCCGACTGACAGGGGCATAAGAAGCAGATTTGTAGGCAGCGGACTTTCCTATTCTAACCAAAACCAAGAGACTGCCAGCGACGGAAAGGCAAAATTATAAATTAAGAACGCCTTTTTTGGACATTCACGGCATGTAGCAACAACTATTTTTGTCTAAACCTCTGCTCCCTATAATCAATGACCGGGTAAGAGCCCACAAGATGGTCTGCCTCCAGCATGCGCTCGCTGCCTTCCCCAAGTTTGGACTTTGTATACGACGAAATACTATCAAAGGCACACAGCTCGCACTCAAGGCAAAGCATCTTCCGAGTTCTTAGCCTTTACCAGGCTGTGGGCGTTTATGGGAAGTATCATTTTGGTTAGAATAAAGCGTCCTGCCAGCCTACAAACGTTCGAGTCGTTGGATTTGGAGGAGGTGGCCTGAGAGGCAAGTCAGTACAGATGATCGCAATATATTGTCCCAATATCTTCCATCTCGGCTTACTGTAGAAAAATCAGAAAAGTGCTGACAAGCAGTTCACAGACGAGTTGTTCTTGTTCTGTATTCAGACTATCGATCCATGTGTCGAAATGGAATTACCAAAGGACTTTGTGGATTACAAAAGAATCTGCAGGTTTCTTGTTGAAGTTGAATGCAGGCCGAGCAATCTTGATTTCCAGTCTCTAAATTGTGCACCGCATCCATGAGAAGACGAGTAGACTGGTTGATAAGAATCTTTCGAATCTTGCATGTACCTTTCGTAACATTTTAACGAAGTGAGGATATATTCTCCCAAGCGTTTTGCACGTGTTCACTCCAAAGCCTACTGATAGAAAAATGTACATCGTGTAGTGTTTTTATTCACCAAGTGTTTGTGAAACTGGTTTGATTGAGTAAAAAACTTTTAAGTTGAACCTATATATTCACCTTCTGGGAACCATGGGGTTCCCTCTATCCCTATCTAGGCCTAGCTTCAAGCAGGCCGTGGGAGTCGTCGTCACCAATGGCGTCGGCCTCCCGGATACAAGGAACCACGAGGCCGAATTCCCCGAAGGGGTCGGTTCTCCCTTGCCCATTTGGGTGAATGCGCTGTCGGCACACCCTTGAGAGTTATAATGGACGCGACTGCTAGCGGCCTCCCCGGGCGCGTCCATTCTCCGAGGCTACATAAGCGGGCCCCGAAGGTGGGCCAGGGGCTCTCGTCGGCGGAAGCCCTGGCTCTACGGAGCTCGGTTTTTCTTTGTGGGCCTCCGACTTCCCGTGAATCTGTCTAATGCGGCAGCGCGGGAAACCGACCGGGTGATACTGGCAATTGAGCCAGCGCCCAGACTTTTCATTGTCTAAGAGCGAATCGTGTTGGCATTTAAGTCAATAAACACGTATTTATCCGGACTCAAGGAACCTTCTTTGTGTTTCTAAGCGGTACTCCCCCAAAGGGGAATTCCCACAATATCTATCTGACATACCACCACAGCTTACCCGTAACTCAATATCCGCAGTTCTTCCGTGAGGTTCGTGCCACCAAACGGTTTCATGATATTTTTTTCGAATAGGAAATGCACCATCGCCCAGAAAAACGGGGGACAGAAACTTATCTGGTGAGCTCGCCACCTTCATCAGCTCTGGCAGATGGATCCTATTGCTTGCCAGAGCTCGTTGTAGAGGTATTGTCTGCCAGATGCCGGAGTCTCCTTGTGATACCGGGGCACTGACGTTGGTGTAGATAAACTTGCAGTTAAGTAGACAGACCTAGAGTTTGGTGGCTTCCATATGCAAACGTGCTTGCCGTCGAGTGCGCCGGCACAGTTCGGGAAGTACCATTT